CCCACAGAATTACTCTTATAAGGATCACTCTTTGAGACACAAATGAGCACAGTAAAACCTTCTTAGGAGGAAACTTTCTTAGACGGTGTTGGGAAAGAATGACTGGCACATGTCAAGAGCGCAAGATGCATTCAGCAGACACATGTCCTAAAATGAAGGGTCCTGGAAATGACATGGGCTTTTCACAGTGAGGAGGTAGGAGCTAAGGAAAAGTTAAGCAACCCAATGTGAAAAGACAGGGACAAGATATGAACAGGCCAATCATGGAAGAGAAGACCTACATAGTCAATAATCATAGGAAAATGTGTTTAATCTCACCAGCAATCAGGGAGATGCAAAATGACTTGAGCTCCACTCTCATGTGCACTTGAGTGCAGACACGAGAAGTGTGATGGCTCCAGAGGTGTGGAGCAGCACAGTGTGACACCCCCTCCCCCTGATAAACCGGCAATGGGTAGAGAAAAAGGAGGCTGAGCACGCTCTCCATCCCGGCCAGGCATCACAGACTGGTCAGGAATGCTCATGAGACCCTGCTCAGAACAGCAGAGTCTCAGGACAAAACCCCCTAAGACTCCCACAGCAAGGAAATATGTAAGTCATCCAGGGCACATGTGGACCAATCACCAAAGCAAAGCTGGGAATACGAACCAAATTTCAAAAGGCTACATGATGTCAGTGGTATTAATTTTCAAAACAAGCTTACCAACAGAACATATTGACTACAGACACTATATACATGTGTGTCTACCTCAATTATGATTTACATATTATATTTTTTAAACATAAAATGGGGATGTTCCACACCAAATTCAACATAAAGGTTACTTCTAGGTAGGTGGTGGGTGGGAGCAGTAGAACATAAGAGGGGGTTAGGCTTCATCAGAACCTACCACAGTGTATTTCTCTAAGGCCGTAGTTCTCAACCTTCCTAACACCACGACCCTTTAATACAGTTCCTTTGGGTCAAGACCCATAGGTTGAGAACCGCTCCTCTAAGGGGATCCCAAACATATATGGGAAAAATTAATGTTGGTTATGCCTAGAGGCCAGGCATTGAGCTGGACTGGGCTCTGTTATGGCAAAGCAGAAGCCCTGAGTTTCAGTGGCTCAGCCCACATGTTTCCACTCACCACCCACTGGCCCAGACCAATCACATGTCCCCAGACTAATGACAAGGGGGACTGAGGAAGGAAGGAAATGCTGGATTATTTCATGAGCACTACCTTGGCTTTGTTGCACGGGCACCCAGGCTTGTTATTCTACATTCTGTATTTTTCTGAATAGGTTAAGATTCATAATTAAACTGAAGACAGAGGAAACAAAATCACCTTCTGTCCCTAACAAAAAGGATAGGATTCAACCAAGTGACTGTAAGAGAAAACCTGAGATCCATCCCACCCGCAATACTCCAGAGATTGCCCCTGACTGAGGGTCCTGCTCAAGGTCAAATGTGCTGGTGAGACAGTGGGGTTGGCACAGCTCTAATGCTACCCTGGATCAGGAATGTGGGGCTACACCCTCTACTTCAAAACCACTGTGCCCAGCAGCCTTGCCCAGCATTAGGCAGCAGGAAGTCCTGGAGGCCACAAGTAGAGAGGCAGGGCATGGGAAGGAGGGCATGGGATGGTGGGCCATAATCAGCTTCCTCTCTGAGTCCCATCACTCCCAGACCTCTCTTGCTCTAGCATCAAAGCCAACTCTGTGCTCCTAGATTCCACAGCCTCTCCCAGAATGACCTCATAAAATAAAGGGTCCCAGCAGTATTTCCCAAAACCACACTACCGTTCATCGATCCATCCATTCATCCATCTGTACATTCATCTGCTCCCATGGGAGGGGCATGAGGAAGAGCCTGGCTCTGTGTATTTCAAATCCTCACTACTACCCTGGGCTTTCCTGGGCTTTCTTACTCCCCTTCCCACCCCCAGCCTATTACACTGATTGAAAGGGGCCTGAGACTGAGCAGAAGAGCCCCACCACCACCACAAGAAGGAAGGGGCAGAGCATTGAATCACCACCGAAGCCAGGAGGGAAGCTCTGCTGGCATGGGAACCAGCAACCTCAGGACAATTAAAAATGCATTCAGCTTGGGTCTCAGAGGGCCATTTCTAGAATGTAAATACCATACCTGTCATTAAAAATGTATTTATTGTGATTACACAGGGGAATTCTTAGGAGGCTCATTGAGCATTCAGTAAGCGTGTCTTTAATAACCCCATTTAATACGTGCTCCCCCAACACAGTGCACCATAAACCTCCCACCCACTGGTGCCTCACACGTATACAAAGGGTTGGCGGCATCCAGAAGATAGACCAGTGGCATCTGTCAGCCTCTAGAAGCCAGCCACCCCAGGAGAGAGCAAGCACAAGAGTAGATAATGTTCAAAAGAGGAAATGTGATTAGTAACTAACAGGGAAAACTGTCCCTCCTCACTGGGAAACAAAAGGATGCAAATTAAAACAACAGTGCAGTCCCCTAGGCCACCCCCCCCCCACTCATGTTAAATCAGCAAGTTTTAGGGAAGTTGTAAGACTAAAAGCAGCCAGAATACAGGGCACATTCCTCCTGAAAAAGAATTTGAGCCTCCAGCAGACCAGCTGTGAGTCTCTCACACTCTGCCCCTCCATAACAGGACAGGGAGCACAGTGAGGAAAGCTGCAGGCCTAACTTCCGCAGCAGCCTAATCACAGGATGGCTAAGTATCAGAGTGCGCCAACTCGGGACGCCAGGTCACAGCCACAAAAGAAATGGTGCAGACCGAGCTTCTACGCAGAACTAGAAACATACTTTATATGTGAAAAAAAAATCATACAAAACTTTGTCCCATGTCTTAATCTATATAAATATGTCAGCAAAAAGAGATAACATTAACTAAGAAAGTAAACATACCCACAGGTAGGGATGTGGGTGAACTTTCTTGAAATGACTAATGTTTTTGCATGTATTTTTAATAAAGGCAAAGAAACGTCTGGTATAGAGACAGTGATGAGAAAGAAACATGGGAAATTTAAATCTGTTGAATTGCTTTGGAGAAAGACTAAATTTAGACCATGTACAGATCTAGGGATGTCTCCTCTCTCCTCATTTTGTCCTTGGCCTTCCCCCTCAGGAGTATTTCATTCCCAAGTTACAGCAATGCAGCCTGAGGCCCTCAGGGGAGGAGCCCCACCCTGGGAGCATCACCGGAGTCAGTGGTTTGGCCCTTAGCTTCCCACCTGCTTCTGAAGAATCCTGTCCTTGGCCCCACACTGTGGGGGTGGTAGAGGTTGGGGTAGGGTGGGACAGACACCCACCACTCCCACGAGAACCCACAGCCAATGCAAGCTGCACCCAGCAGCTGTCAGTGTGGGTGCAGACTGTGCTAGGAAGGACCAGTCCCTTTTCAGACAACTTAGGATATTCTCATTTCCCCCGTTTCCAGAGGCTGCACTGAGTGGAGGAGACCAAAGATTCTGGAACTCTCTGAGGGAGGTGTTCAGGGATGTATCAATGAGTGCTCACAGAGCGCTAGTACCCCCAGTGCTTGACTCACTTGGCAAACGAGGGGACTGAGGAAGTCTGCGTGGAGGACCAGCCTTACCTACCCACAAGGTAGCCAGGGGAGCCATTTTGGGCCAACTACCTAGCAGGGAGGCCCTCCCCTGAAAACAGCCCTGGAACACAACTCTCGAGGAGCAGTGAGGAGGCTTCCCTGGACCTGTGGAGCTCACACTACATCCTGCTCTTTTGGAGGATGAGCTGCCTTGCTCCACACTGCAATAAAACGATCTTTTGAAAGCGCCTTCCAGCACATACAGTAATGATGGGGGTCATTGCAGGAAAACACCTGTCCTCTATGTAGGGATGTGACCCACCGCTGCCCCCATCTTCTGGTGATGACAATGGAACTGGAGGAGGCTGGTAGACCTGAGAGGCAGAGGGACCTGGCAAGGGAAGGCACCTCCACAGGGGTTACAGGGGGGGCAAGGAAAACTCTGGAGAGTGAATGTCTTAATCTCTAATCTTAGCCTCATTAGCACCATAGGTGAGTAGGCCAGCAGGCTCCTGGTGACACTATTCTTTACCTCACAAAGAAAGCACCCAACTCAAGGCACCATTTCAGTGACTTCCCAAAGTGTCACAGAAATCCCTCAGTTGGACCCAACAGACTGAATCATCAAACCCCTTTGCTATAAGCAAAGCCAAAAACCAAAAATAAATCAACTAAAGGTTCTGATCAGCAAGTATGTGTTGGGGTTTTAGAAAAATGAATTAACTATTACTTGGGAACACATGTTGGAAACCAAAATGGGTTTGCACCCTGAGAATATGGAGGTGGCAATCAGTGCACGCAAGAGACGGAATTCTACGAGAGAAAAGCTCTGAAACCACAGCCCGAGAGGCTGGGAACTGACGGCCCCCTTCCTGGGTGAGCAGATGTAAACCCTGAGGACGATAATGACCAGAATGGCTTCTCCAGGCCTCCTCCTCTCTCATCTCATTTGGCACATCAAAGGGACGGTCTAACGTGCTTGAGCTGAATTCACATTCTACGCATAAAGAGATGTCTGCCGTCCTCAGTGGGTTATTTATTTACCAAGCTCTTCTTTAGCCCAGAAGAAAGAAAACCATCCAAACAATGAGGATAATCAGAGCCTCTGGTGGACTCGGGGAGCTGCGTGTGAAGTTCAGAGCACAAGCAAAGGGAAATTGTGCACTGACCTGGATTCACAACACAAACCCTCCTCCTCTCGGGAGAAAAAAAGAAAGGAAAAAAAAGAAAAGAAAAGAGAGCAAAGACACTTTCTGAGCAGTTGTCTGTTTTCCAGAGCTGTTTGTACCCACTGCCGAAATTCTTAATCGGCTTTCAATGTTTCCTTTATGCATTTTCTAGCCAAAGAAAAGCTATGAGGCCACCAACTCACAGGGGCCATGTCAGCCGGGCACTTGGATCTCGATCCTCAGCTGAGAGCCTCGAAGAGGTGCATGCAGAGAAAAGCCCACCCTCGGGATGACTTACCGCCACAGAGAACTTTCCAGAACCTTCCCCATGTCTGCATGGTAGTACTTCGTCAGGATCAAGATCACCTGTGGTGTAAACAGAAAGAAAAAAGCAGAAATCAGTGGGTTTCAGGTTCTCAAAGAGAGATGGGATGACATCACTCCCTGCCAGGATTTGGTGTCTCCCAAATTCAGCCACCCAGGGCTATTTCTCATTCGGGGGTCACTGGAGGCTCCAGATCACAAAGACTCGGGCTCATTTGTCTCTGCTCTGAAAACTTGCTTGCTTTTCCTGCTCAGAATGAATCCGGGGACATCTCAATCCTCTGAAATCCACCCAGCAGTAGCCTCAGATGATCACAAACTGTGGCAGAGTTTGGTGGTGATCCCAGTGTGAGTGCCCAGCACATTGGCAAGGTGGGCTCTGGTCTCCATTGTCGCCTTACCGAGTCCCCCAAACCAGCTGGAAATAGCTGCCGTGGCTGCCGCCCAAGACCAGAGCAGGCCCCTGCAGTCTGTCTGTCATTACTCATCATGGAGTGGTGGCTGATGGCAGAGCAATGACAGTGGGTGGGGATGGGAGGGGGAACACCGCCAGGGCTGGCACACCCACTGCTGTGCCTCCCCCACCACACACAGCAGGCCCCACCTCACAAGGATGTCTGCGCTTCAGGCCTGGGCAGAAAATGCAAGTGTTTATAAAAATGAAAATAAATGTGCTTAAAAGCTACCCAAATGTTCTTCAAAACAATATTATAAACATAAAGAAACAAAAAGGAAATGAAGATTCACCAGCCATGGTGGGAAAAGGACATTTATCCCCAGTTATTGCACCAGCCACTGTGTTCTCATGAGTACATCAAATTTCACTTCCCCACTGACAGTCCCTGTTAGCTGTTCCCAACACTCCAGACACCAGGGGACCCCCGGGAGGTAGAATGGGAACAGCCTCGAGTTGCCAGCATAGCTGTTAGCCTGGTTAGTTCGGGGTCACCACACTGGCCATTGCCAGTGTATTCTCCTCCCAGAGATCAGAGCTTTCTCCGTGAGGTCCTCATGGGCGTCATGTCCGTAGCCAGCAGCTTTGCTGTGATCAACTGTCTTTCTTTCCCTAGTGATTAGAGCAGTGAAGAGAGGAGGGGGGACATCCCCAGAGATGGGACAGTATGCATCTTAGAGGCAGGGAGGATTTTAAAAAACAATCTGAGGCCTTGTCCATTGAGGAGAGAGTGGTTGCGCCTTGCCTGGGAACAAAGCGTTTTTTCCCTCCCTCCAGCTTACCGCCTGCCCACATTGGAGGCAGCACCCTCTGAGGAGGGAGGAGGCTGACAGGGTGTTGATTTCAACATATTTATATTTTATGTGGTCTCACTCTTCACACAGAGGATTTTTGAAGCCAGAGTGTGGCAGCTAGAAGGGACCTCAAAATCTGTTTGATCAGGCCCCATCCAGGATGAGCTCGAGGGTGGGGGGACTCACTGGAGGGCAGGGGGCTCGCCCTCAGGAAGGGAGCTCAACCTGAGAGCACGGGGGCTCATGGGGAGTGGGGCCTCTCCCAGACAGCGGAGGGCTCACTTGAGGGCAGGGGGCTCACTCAGAGGGTGGGAGACTCACCTTGGCGGCAGGGAGCCTCACTGGAAGGGGGGCTCACCCCTAGAGGGGAGGGGTCACCCAGAGGACATAGGGGGCTCACCCCGAGGGAGGGGGCTCCCCTGACAGGGCACCTTCCTGCCCTTCTGGAAGGCTGAGCTCCATCTCCTGGGGGCTCCTGCCCGCACATCCAATCAGCAGGAGTCTCCCCTACTGCTCATGGCAGGGGAGAAGCCCCACCAGAGCCTTGCCCCCGTTCTAACCCCAGCTTTTCTGAGCCTTTGCACAAGGTCCTCCTCATCCTGGGACGCTCCTCCCAACCCCAGCCCTATTTCCTCAGTTAACCCCTGCTCAGCCTCCAGAACTCAGCCCATGCACACTGCCTCCAAGAAGCTTCCCAGAGCCCCCACCCTGGGCTCAACGCCCCCTCTGTAATTCCCCCAGACCGGAGAATTCTCCTGCCCCCACACAGCTTCCAGGGTCTGTTTTCACCACTGGAGGACGAGGCCTTCACAGGTGGGTCCTTGTTTTGTCTTCTGTCCCAGTGCTGGGTGCAGCCTTTGCCGTATAACAAGCACTCAAGCCACTCACTGCAAGAATTCCTGGAGGCTTCCAAAGGGACCACCACACAATGAGGTTGCACAGGGGCCCCTCCACCCTCACCCCCACCACCACCATGCTCTGGCCTCCATTCACAAGTCACCCCCCTTCCATTGAGAAGACACCCCCAAGTCTTCCTGCTGGGAAGAGAGTCTCTACCATAACGAGCTAAGCTACATGGGGCTTGGGATACTATGGGGCTGTCCTTGCCCAGGGCCAAAACAAGAAGGTCGGCCAAGAAGGGCTGTGCTCGAGCAGCCAGATAGCAAGGCAGCCCTCAGTCCCTTACTCTGCAGATGGCAGCTACAAAGACCCCATTTGGGGTGAGACTACCCAGGTTCCGTGCCCGACTCTGCACTCACTAGCAGACCCTGCAACCTGATGTGCCTCAGCTTCTTGGAGTGTGATGATGTGACAGTTAAGACTGGCCACTCAGTATCCAGCAAGAAGTGTCTCTATGCCATAGCCAGAGGAAGCACCCTAGTGAGGACACCCACGGCTGGCACTGTGCTGGGCGCTGTGCCGTGCAGTCACCCACACCGACTGCCACAAAGCCCAGGGAGCCCTGCGAGGTAGTATCCCTGTTTTACAGATGAAGTAACTAAAGCAGAAAGCGCTTATTTTGCCAAAAACTACACATTCAGTAAGTGGCAGAGCTGGAATTTGATCCCAAGCAATTTGACTTCAAGCTCGGGGTCTCCACTGCCAAGTTGAAAGCCTATGTTTTCAGAAGAAACTTCTATTAAAAGTGGTTTCAAAGAACTAAAAATTATGACATGGCCTTCTGGGTCCTCAGCTAACAGCTTTGGAAATGAAATACCCCAGGAACAATTTTCCCATTCGCTGGCCTGTTACCATAGCTTTGGGCACTTTGATCTGAGTGGGGAAAACACAAGGAATGTTAGTCAGGGCTGCAAGGTCCTGCTGATGCCAAGAGTGTCTTCCCACCCAGAGGCCCCCTGAGCCCACAGCCCACAGGAACCCTCCCCAGAGGGCTGAGAACATTGAGGTGGAAAACAAGGAAGTAAGAGCTACCACTGCCCACAGGACAGGCCGCAGAGGTCACTCCAGCCCCTCTGGACTCACATGTCACCTGTATCTCATCTTCTCACTTCAGGTCCTCCTGGCCTGCGGATGCAAATGAAAGGGTCTGTCCCCATTTTACCAACATGGGAAATGGGCTCCTGGGGGAGCTTGGGTGCTGGGCATCGACTCTGTGCAAACTCGGCACGTTCTCAGGGTCCAACCTTGACTCAGTCCAGCCCAACAGGGAGGGCCCTGTGTCACTGCTGGGGAAACTGAGGCACAGAGCTACTGTGTGACCCGCTTGGCACTGCACATAGCGGAGCTAGAAGCTCTTGTGCCCAGGTCCAGGGCATTGATGGGTTGACCTTCTGCTGCTCCCTGACCCTCGCTGATGTCTGCCTTCCGGGCACGTGGCACGCAGGTGCTCAGCTTCTGTGCATGTGCCAACTACAGGTGCAGCCCAGCAGCCGCCCACCCTGAAAGGCCAACCCAGGATGCCAGCCAAAGAGGCCAGACCCCAAACTCCCCAACCCCACCACCCCTGAGGGTGCTGAGCTATTGGCTCCAATGGAGCCTGGGACTCAGTCCACTTTGCCCCAGATCCCCAGAGTTTAGCATGCAGAGGAATGTTGATCAATCTTAGCTGAGTGAATGAATGAGTGTGTAAGTAAACCCCAGAGCAAATGAATGAGCAGCTGATGCAGAGAAGACACAGACAGAACCTGCCCTTCCCACCCCATCCCAGCCAACTCCTGATGTCTGGGCATTCTCTGCAGAGCCGTAAACCTGGGCTGCCCACTCCTTTGACACCCTAACGGTGAGGAACATACCCTGTTCTAGAGACCCACAGCTCTCACACCATCAACCCTCCCTCAGGGGAGGCCCATCCCCCCTAGCCGAGTGAGGACTGGGAGGAAGCCAGAGTCAGACTCACAGCAGAGCTCCAGGGACATGGACAGCTTCATTTAACACTTGGCAAACAGGGAAAGTAAGGATCAGAGCAGGAAGGGGCTTCAGTGGGAACACATCCTGGTCCCCACCCAGGGCTTAGCCCTGTACCCACAGCCTCTGGATTTATTTCAGGAAAGCCCCCCACCCCCAAGAGGGGCAGCTGAGGGCGCTGCCTCTGAGAAGCAAGAGTAACCCTGCAGTCTGCGCTCATACAGAGACTCTCAAGCATGCAGTCAGGCCCCCACCTCAGTCGCCACAGCCACGCCTGCCCCAGGGTACAATTCAATGCCAGGTTCACATGGATGTGTGGGAGGCTGGTCTACCCTTGATGAGCTGTCAAGCTCCTGAAAGGGGCTGATGGTAATAGCTCTGTAGTAGGAGGAAGCCACAGCCAGCCAGCCCCAGCTGAGGGCCCTCAGGGGCATAAGGGGGCTGACA